AGAAGAAGAAGAAGAAGAAGAAAACAACCTTATCGAATTTTTCATATTTAAACATATTGTAAAAGATCCGATCCTCAAAATAAATAAAAAGTTTCAATAGATTTTGATGTTATTACAAATTCCTCTTCCAACGTTACAATACATTAAAAAATATATTTTCTTAGACTAATATAGACTAATATTGTCTTTAATTTTGAATACTTACACAGTGTAAACTATTTTAAATGATAAAATTTAAGAACAAATGGGATTTATCCACAGATTTCGATAGATTCAGCAACTAGGATAATTAAACTTCTCCTGCAAAATTAAAATTGTCCAACCATTTATGGAAAAAAAAGGTTTCGTTATTTAAAAATTAAAACATTTTTAAATATATTCTATAATTTAGTTAGAGTTAGTTTCTTTAGACAAGTTTGTACATTAATTTCCTTTTGGAGAAATCATTACACATTGGACTGGATGGAGACCAGACGAAATTTGTATAAACTGGTTTTATATTTATATATTTTAGATAATTTTTTCCATAATCATAAATATTTAAATTTTTCCCGAGACGTACAAGGACTTCCTGTTCCAGTTCCTGTTCCTGTTCCAGTTCCTGTTCCTGTTCCAGTTCCAGTTCCAGTTCCAGTTCCAGTTCCAGTTCCTGTTCCTGTTCCTGTTCCTGTTCCTGTTCCTGTTCCTGTTCCTGTTCCTGTTCCTGTTCCTGTTCCTGTTCCTGTTCCTGTTCCTGTCCCTGTTCCTGTTCCTGTTCCTGTTCCTGTTCCTGTTCCTGTTCCAGTTCCAGTTCCAGTTCCAGTTCCAGTTCCAGTTCCTGTTCCTGTTCCTGTTCCTGTTCCTGTTACCGCTTAAGGGGGCGCAACAATTTTTATTTTTTTATGGGGGCGCAGGTACAAAAAGGTTGGCAACCACTGACTAAAATGCCCGCTTAAGTGATATCAAAGAGGTTAGGTGACATTAATTCCTGAAGATTACTAAAATAACTCAGATAGAAATAAATAATACAGATAGATATAAATCACGTTTTTATCTATTTATCTCCTCGTAACTATTACACGCTGGTGTATACACATGTAACTAATTTCTAGTGCGTAACAGAGACCTCGTAATCTCATTACACCCGATATTCCACTAATAAATCCGAAAGGGACCATCGCGTTCCCGACGGGGATCTCCCGGAAAACGTAACATTTCCATACCGACATTCCACCGACACAAACACTAGCCCAAACCAGTAACGTTATTAATTAATTAATTAGCAAAAGGTATTTTGAGTGACGGGTCGAACGGGACAAGGTTATGCCGGATCCGACCACATTTTCATAACATGTCTGTTCCGGGATTCCGGTTGATCGGTCCGGGGGTTCCGGGAGGGGAGAGGAGAACGACGCGGTCGGCTTCTGAATGTGAAATGTACGGTTTCTGGATATTCGCTGTGTGTTCTAATTTTCTGACCGCTGGCATTGTCGGATTGTTGAGGTAATTGAGAGGAAATTGATGGCGAGATATGGGGGACTGCTTTTAAAAGCGACTGCATTTTGAATGTTTCGAGTGGTTACATACTGGCAAGTGTAGTTTCTTTATTTCTGTTCTAAAAGGTCCGGCAATAGTGCGTTGAGCAATCTGTAGCTTCTAGTATAGAAAACTTGAAAATTTACAAGGATGTATTTCAGGAAACTATAGGGTGGCTCAAAAAAGTATGAGTGGATCGGGATGACTTTTTTAAATAGAACACCCTGTATATTATTGCATTTTGGGCTTCCTTTCAGATCACTTTACATAATTCTACGATATGAGCTACGCCCTCCTACAGGTAGTTTTCAGACGCTTTTAAGAATCGAAAGTAGGTCGAGGCAAACCGAAGTGGTTGGTCATTAGTATAAAATTTTAAATTTTCTAATAATCATAATAACACTGAGTCTTAAAAAAGGCTAATAATTTTCTTCTATAAATTTCTACATAATTACCAAGTTGCGTCCCCTGAATCTTCTTCTGCCGCACCCCATTCCAAATTTTTGCAAAGATTAAGAGAGCGAAAACCGTTGCGGGAGAAGACATAAAAAAGTCCGGCGCATATTTCGCGCTCAATTTGCCGCCGGCTCATCTCCTTAACGACTTTAAGGTACTTTTTTAAATTTATCAGACCTCTCTTAAGACCTAGTTAAACTACGTGAGCGGCTTTGGGATCTGCTCTAACTTAATTCTTCTCATATTTACCTGGCCCCGGGCCGTCAAGGAACTTAATATTATTATTGTGATTTGCGAAATTGCAGTAAATAAGTTAACCGGAAAGAAAGGAAAAAGATACAGATTAACGTTTTTTATCGAATTTTTTTATTCTATTCATTTTCTTGTGTTTTCCTCTTTTTCCAGACTCCTTTGGTTTATTTTTTCCTGATTTTCAGGTTTATTACATTTATGTTCACTGATATTTTAAAATTTGAATACAACGTTACAATACATTAAAAAATATATTTTCTTAGACTAATATAGACTAATATTGTCTTTAATTTTGAATACTTACACAGTGTAAACTATTTTAAATGATAAAATTTAAGAACAAATGGGATTTATCCACAGATTTCGATAGATTCAGCAACTAGGATAATTAAACTTCTCCTGCAAAATTAAAATTGTCCAACCATTTATGGAAAAAAAGGTTTCGTTATTTAAAAATTAAAAACATTTTTTAAATATATTCTATAATTTAGTTAGAGTTAGTTTCTTTAGACAAGTTTGTACATTAATTTCCTTTTGGAGAAATCATTACACATTGGACTGGATGGAGACCAGACGAAATTTGTATAAACTGGTTTTATATTTATATATTTTAGATAATTTTTTCCATAATCATAAATATTTAAATTTTTCCCGAGACGTACAAGGACTTCCTGTTCCAGTTCCTGTTCCTGTTCCAGTTCCAGTTCCAGTTCCTGTTCCTGTTCCTGTTCCTGTTCCTGTTCCTGTTCCTGTTCCTGTTCCTGTTCCTGTTCCTGTTCCTGTTCCTGTTCCTGTTCCAGTTCCTGTTCCAGTTCCTGTTCCTGTTCCAGTTCCTGTTCCTGTTCCAGTTCCAGTTCCTGTCCCAGTTCCTGTTCCTGTTCCAGTTCCTGTCCCAGTTCCTGTTCCAGTTCCTCAACATGTTCCACACTTTTCTGTGGCCCCCATAAAGATCATGTTGCATTTCTACTGAGAAGTCTTGTCAGTATCGTTCTTTTGGCAGTTTTATTTGGTTGTTCGTTCTGTTTCGTACTAACTTATAAAAAAAGCTCTATTTTTATTGTACTTCCTCTAGCCAGTTCATCCAGGTACACCCTGTATATACAATCCAACAGTATGCGTGGTATACATTTATCAATCACGTAGCACTTGATTATCATTCCCTTTTTATATTTGCTTTTGTCAAAATATACAATAAACAGATTTGTACCTTATGGCCAATTAAAATTTGTTCCTGGTTGGGAATTTTAATTGAGGCAGAGAAAAAAAAATGCTGGCGCTCTCAAAGATCCGACTGACGAATTCGAAATAAAAGTTTTCGAATGCCGCGGAATGAGTACTGTTTACGTCGAAAATTCATCAGAGAACAACGAGGAATGTTGCCAAACGCTAAATTTAATCATACCAACGATTATGAATTAATTTGCAACTCTTTATTGTTTGTTGGCCGTTCTTGATTAAATAACTTATAAAGAATTATTTACAAATTCCGAAATAGGATTTCGGATTTTTTAAAAACATTATAATTTAATTATTTACATCGACAGTCTAATAACAAAATATATACAGGGTGATCCGAACTATATTCCGGACACTCAGGCAGCATATTCTGTTCCAGTTAATTTTCAGAACTACAAACACAAAAGAGTATATTAAACAACGAGTTTCGAAAACGACGTTTTGCACACGAGTTCGACAGTTTGTTTATATTATATTTACCGAACGGCGCACGGTGAGGTATTAGCATGAAAAAGGTGATCGAAATTCGAAAAAGCAAATGTGTTTAAGATTTCCCAAAAAAAGATAAATGATAAGTTAAATCATGTCTGCCATGAATGGCTTTGCTATGGGTGTGTTTAGTTGCATTCATTTGTTTCAACGAAACGTCAAAGTTCTTACTTCTCACAGATAAGAGGTAAATGGCCAAATTTTATGTTTAAAATTCTAAATTGTTGTTGTTCTTTTTACGTTTATATTATTGTTTTGATTGAAAATGGCTCAGCAAGCTGCAGGTATGTATTCTACAAAAACGTATTATTTATTTTGATATTCTCTATACTAACGATTTTTTCTGCAACTAAAAGTTAGGCGTTCAGAAAATTTGATTGAATTTGTGACATTTTTATTATACTTAGAGATTTAGTTGCGCATTTCGAAGAATCCAGCATATTGTCTATATACGTTTTACTTAGTAAACATTGGGCTTTCATACAGTAAAATAAAATACTGCGACTTTTTGCGATTTTGCTGATAAAATGAGTAAAACATTCTTGGTTTCCTCTAATTTGCCAATCAGTGATATACTAATGCGAGGTGTAAACCGCGATGGCATTGTTGTGTACAAAGCGATCGCATTAGTGCCATTAGCAGTATAGCACAATTTGGCATTAGTAGCGACTTTAGTGGTATGGGCATTGCTCGCGGATCAGTCGTAGCATTAGTAGTATTATAGTTGCGATATTACTACTGGTATTAGTGGCATTGACCGTGGAAACACTGGAACAGTGATTTTTCTTTCTTTTTTTAGAATCGACGAATTATCCTTTATTTTGTTCATGTTATTTCCTCTTTAATTGAAAATAGCAATAATTTATATAAGGTCTACATAAAGAAATTTCGATCAACTATCTGTGTCAAATACCCCACTGTGCGGCGTAAAGAAAGGAAAGATAATGGGCACCGAAGGAATAAAGAGGAAGGCTATATATGACTGTAATAAGTGGGGAAATTGGCTTTCCTAATTTAAGCTGGCCGACACAAAAGGTTGAGTTGCAGCGTTGTCAACTTGACATGTTCTGTTCCCGTTCCCGCTCCCGTTCCTGTTCCTGTTCCTGTTCCTGTTCCTGTTCCTGTTCCTGTTCCTGTTCCTGTTCCTGTTCCTGTTCCTGTTCCTGTTCCTGTTCCTGTTCCTGTTCCTGTTCCTGTTCCTGTTCCTGTTCCTGTTCCTGTTCCTGTTCCTGTTCCTGTTCCTGTTCTTGTTCCTGTTCTTGTTCTTGTTCTTGTTCTTGTTCTTGTTCTTGTTCTTGTTCTTGTTCTTGTTCTTGTTCTTGTTCTTGTTCTTGTTCTTGTTCTTGTTCTTGTTCTTGTTCTTGTTCTTGTTCTTGTTCTTGTTCTTGTTCTTGTTCTTGTTCTTGTTCTTGTTCTTGTTCTTGTTCTAAGTTTTTGCATTAATATTTTAACATTTAATCTTTTCATCATTTTTATTAAATCATTTCACAGATTTTGTAGTACTTACACTCTCCAAACCAAAGATAAAGTTACAAAGATAAAGTTTCCCTTAACTTTCCATCTGATTTATAAACAGTTTTCTTGTAGTATTTTACAACAGGCTGTTGAAATTTTTGGAATGACAAAGTTTTAATTAGGCATAAAGCTCAAATCTGTTTATATTATATATTTACTGAACGGCGTAAAAAGAAAGGAAGGAGAATGGGCACCGAACGAAAAGAGAGGAAGGGTTGCATGACTGTAATAAGTGGGGAAATTGGCTTTCCTAATTTAAGCTGGCCGAGACAAAGGGTTGAGTTGGCAGCGTTGTCAACTCGACATGCTGAAAAAAAACACGCAATTTGCTACTTGATGTACGGGTGTTGTAGGTTTAGTTTCATATATGCACTTTTTTGTTTATTTGAATTTTGTAATATTAGTCGGTTTCAAAAATGAATGAGAACCTCCAATAAATAAGGAAACGAAGATAAAAAGAATATAAAAATCACAAAAAGGACTTAAACGACCCTTAAAAGATGAGATTGAATATTAAATATTTTTTTTTAGTTTTAACCAATGTTTTATAATACTAATTACTAGATATACAGAGTGCTACCAATTCGGGGTACGAACAATGGTATCTCGGTAACCGTTATAGATACGCACATGGTTAAATTATGGCAAAGTTGCGCTTTGAGATATTTAACAAAGCTTAGGGCTATCTGATAATATTTTTAAATTTGCAAATTAACTGATAATTTGTGTGATACAGTGGCCAACTTAATTTTTTTCAATACGTACCTACCTACATTTTTATTTTAGGTTTTGAAATAACTCGGTTTCCTGAGTACAACGATATGCCACACGTTATATTTTGTATATACACTATATTTGTTTTGGGTTTGTTTTGTTTAATAACAAAAAAACTATTTAATTATTATCTAAAAAAATTTCAAGTCCGACTCTAGTTTTTTTAAATTATTTAATCTGATTATATTCATCGCAATAATATTGATCAGCGCTAATTAACAATGGAATTGGAAGATTCAAATAAATAATATTCAAGTCAGCAATTTAAAGATATTATTTTTAATTTTTTTTATTGTTAATTTGAAATCTCAGTTTGCGATCTAATAATAAGCATAATATTAATAGTAGTTATTATAAATAAGTCAACTTCTACAAACTAGTTTCTAATGCTCTACATGTTTGAATGAGTTACCACCCTCCCTATTACACATGCATTTTGTACTCTTTATTGTAAATGTTGAGATGTAATGATTTCACTTTTACAAATGACATCAAGTAATATCCCAAGTGCTCGTACCTCGAATTTGTAGCACCCTGTATAATTATAATGATCTAAAGCTCTAACAAATTTATAAATATGGTTAGATTTGAAATACAAAATTTACCTTTACCTATCTCATGAACGATTTATTGATGATGATGCTGGGATTGATGAGCAATATTATACAATTATATTTATAAATTAAGGCCATAAACAATTATCAGGCAAATAATAATTTTGCAGATATTTATTACCTATAAACATTATTATACATTACTCATTACATTCTCATTCTATGGCAATGGCCCGCAATAACATCATTAATACAACTTCTGTCATAATATTTAACTTGACCGTTTTTTAAATAAAAAATATTGTAATATTTGAAGGGTGATTTCACCCTCTTGAAACTGGAATTTCGAAAAATCCCTCCTTATCGAACCTCTACACCCTAGAATTAACCTGTATGCCAAAATTGAGCTTTTTTATATTGAGTGGTTTGAGCAGGATCGTGATTAATCAGTGAGTCAGTCACATAAGGATTTTATGTATTAGTCTAGATTAAAGGTTCAAGTAAATAAAATACATAAATTATAAGTAAAATAAGTCAAAACCTGACTTAATGAATGAATTCTATGAGCGTCTCCATACTACATTGTGTAGATAAAGCACAACCGTATCATGTACAGCCGTACAGCAATTAAAATAAAGCATTTCGAATGCGAAATATATTTACGCGCAGTTTAGGTAAACGCGAACAAAGGGCATAAAAGCTTAACCCTGTGTGAAAAGTAGCAAGCTAAATAAAAATGTAATTAGGCAAATAGCCGACGGCAACTGAACGTAAAACAAGGCAGCGTACAAAGACCAAAACAAACAGTCGTTATTTTAAAAAATAAGTTCGGCCAGCGGCCATTCGTTATAATGGACCAGTTAACCCCGCCGTTGTCGCTATTGTAGAAATAATGTTTTAAATGTTTTTCGTGGCACAAATGACTTGCAGTTCTAGGTATAAGTATGTTCCAGATTACATAAACTTAAATTTAATGGAATATTCATTCAATAGTCATTAGAAGTCCCTTAATACCGTATGATAGATAAAAAAACGGTGTCCAGGTTGGCTAGGAAATCTATACTAATATATAAAATCCTTAAGTGACTCACTGATTAATCACGATCCTGCTCAAACCACTCAAACGTAAGAACTGAATTTTCGCATACAGGTGTAGAGGTTTGTTAAGAAGGGATTTTTCAAAATTCCAGTTCCAAGGGGGTGAAACCACCCATTAAATATTACAATATTTTTTATTTAAAAAACGATCAAGTTTCCGAAAAAAACGCCAAATTTTTCCGAAACCAAACCGGTAAGTTTTTCGTAAAAACTTTTAAGCACGTATATTTTATTTTGTTGTATTACATATTTTAAGATTTTTAAAAATTTATACAGGGTGTTTCATAAAATATGACTATTGAGTAATCACGATTCTACTTAAACTGCTTGACGTTTAAAGCTGATTTTTGGCAAACGGATTGACTGTGGGGTGTAGAGGTTTGATAGGAAGGGTTTCTCGAATCTCAAATTCCAAGAGGGTGAAAACGCCCCTCAAATATTACAATATATGTTATTTAAAAAACGGTTAGTCTTTCGGGAAAACGCTTGAACACGCATAATTTATTTTGTTTTCTACATATTTTGAAATTTTCTAAAAAATCATACAGGGTGTTGGGTAATTGATTAACCACGATTTTGCTTAAACTTCTTGACGTAAAAAGCTTATTTTTGGCAAACGGATTTTTCGAAAGTCAAATTCCAACGAGATGAAACTACCCCTCAAATATTATCAAGTTATATAATAATATCGCCATATTGTTTTTTCTCATGCTGACATAAATGTGAGAAAATTTTGTCCAGTTTGTATGTTAATGGAAATTCTTGCTTTGCTTTATTATCACCATTACAAATGATTAATTCGACGCGAACGAAGTCGCGGGACGATATAAAATGACAGCGACCTTCATTTCATAGCCATCGCTGACGCCGTGTTTTTTTTTCGATCATACAGTACTTTACAGTTGAGGGTTGGAACCTTTGGTGTTATACAGCAAAATAAAAACACTAAATCACCACAATACACCAAAACACTTTTACTTTTACACTGGACGCGCGTTTCGCTAACCATGTTAGCATCATCAACAGATGATTATAAACTAAAATACGATCTACAAGTTGAGCGTTTATAAACTCGCTCAGTAGGCACCGAGTGGGCGTGGCAAGATCTAGCCAACCGAGTCAGAGCCCACCGTGCGCAACAGTTAAATTTCCGCCACTAGAGTAGTAGGAACAAAGAACTTGAAGGAATTGGACCGTTGTCTCTGTGCATACTATCTTTACATTTATTAATTCTGATGCTTTCATATGCATACAGTACATTATAAAAATGCCAGCAATAAAGTGGGTCTTAAAATTAATTTAGCAAAATCTAAAATAATATACAAAGAACTAATGAAAAGAAAAGACATTATAATAAATAACATAACACTGGAAATAGTAAAGACATATAGTGAGTTCAAATACAGATATTTTTCTTAGGCGATTTTATAATTTTGTTATTAAACGCATTACAGAGATGATTTGTTAAAACAAATTTAACCACTATATGTCCTTCTTTCTGCTTTTTTAGTTATAATACTATAAGAATGCTTTAATTGTTAAGTCTTTCCCATTTTGCAAAAACTGCAGAACAAAATCCAAAAAATAAACTGAGGCTATGTTCTCATATTTGACAGAATATCAAATAAATTATGGAAACCTTTCCGGCACAATAAATTTATTTCAACTCGCCCAAAACAGAAAAAAGAACAAAAACTTTGCATTTTCATATTTCTCTTTTGAGAGTCGTGCGCTTTATCAAAAATTAGTGGCCGAAAAGATAAAATCTATACGGCAGCGCCAAGGGGCGGAAAACGAAAATTTATTACCGGTGATGTATATACGAGGCGAAGGAGACAAAACGCGCAAAGTAATATATTCATTTCAAAAGTCATATTTCGGTTGGCGCGGTCGCCGCTTTCGGGACACTGCTTCTTTTCCGTTCCCATTGCCCACCCAACATCATCCGTTGCTTTCCAGGAGCCCTATTCTTAAACTAAAAGGTTACGACTCTCGTTTCAAAGTGAAATAACAATCACGAATGTGTTAAAATCATTACAGGGTGGCCCATCGAAAACGTTCCGCAAGGCATAACGGCCAGGGTATTTTTTTTTTCAACACGTCAATTTTGTTTGTGAGAGGGACAACTTTTGCCCCAAAAATGATTGCAAAATCTTTAACCCTCGAAGCGGGGCTGTCATCCCCCAATTTTTCTCAAATGGGAAGGGGGGTCAAGTGGCACCGCAATGAAAATTCCTATTCTATATATTTCCCCGCTTCGTTTTTGAAAATCGGTCGGGTCATTAAGAACATACGAAGGATTGAAATTTAAAAAGTTTATTTAAACATTTATCAGAGTAAATGATAAGGATAAATTCCTTCGACCAATTTGCTGTTTTTTCTTATTATTTCTAGATGTTTACGCATTTTTTCACTGGTCACAAGGTTGAACGATCAGGTGCGGTAGTTGCTAGATAGCTGTTCTGTGACTTAAGGTGCATTGAAG